AAAAAAGAATTTTGAATCATCATCCAGTTCTGATGATAGTGAAAATTATGACAATTCGTGTATTCATCAAGATTTTTTTGAAAATGATTTCATCATTTTAAGAAGACTGTATCAAAATGATGAAGCGATTTTTTATATGGTTTTTCATATCAAAAGTTTTTACATTTTCGTAATGAAAAAGATATTTCATGTAAATGAAATGGATAATCAAATAAATCATGAAATTTACTTTTGTGAAAATTATTCACATCGATGCTTTACACAATTTTATGGATTTTTAAAAGAAAATGATAAAATTGTTGGTTTTATTTATGAATTTATGAGTAATGATTCTCTTAATTCTTTTGTTAATTCACATGAAGATGAGATAGATGAAATATATATATTAATGACAATAAATCGCATTGTTCAAGGTATCGAATATCTTCATTCAAATTCACTTATTTATAGAGATTTAAAGCCAAAAAACATTTTAATTGATCATGATTTTATTCCTTATATTTCAGATTTTGAAACAATTCGTCATCCATTTGATGATACACCAAATGTAGACTTTACTGGAAATATTGGAACTTTTTATTATTCGTCACCTGAACAAGATAAAAATATCAATATTTCATATCCTACAGATATTTATTCTTTTGGTTTAACAGTTTACTTTTTATATGAAAAGAAAGACATGAGGAGTCTAATCAATTCAAATCTAGAAAAAAGACAAAATGATGAAATTCTATTAATTAATAATTGTTCAGAAACAATACAAAAATTATATAAAAAATGCGTCAAATATAACCAATTTGAAAGGCCCAAAATAAATGAAATTAAAGAAATTATAATTGGTATTATAAATTCAACAAATATTATTTTAGATTATATAACTAATGAGGATATTGATTTTAATAAATCAAACTTGGTCCAATTTATTTCAGAAAGGCTTTTCTTACAGCTTGATGAAGTACCACAACTTCATGATACGCATGAAATGTTAAAAAAAATTCGTTATATAGTAATTGGTAGAATTATCGAAGATGATTTATTATTTTATTCTTCTCTAGGGAATTATTATTATGATATAGAATTGTATGAAGAAGCCAGGAAATGCTTTGAAAAAAAGGCTAATTTAATGAATCCGGTTGATCTTTACAAACTTGGCCGAATTTATTATGAAGGATTAAATGTTCAGCAAGATTTCACAAAAGCTAAACAATATTTCATTATATCTGCAGAGCGAGGAAATGCTAATTCATTACTTATTTTAGGTCTTTTTTATATGAATGGAATATCTGTTGATCAAGATTATAATAAAGCAAGAGAATATTTTGAAAAAGCAGTTGAAAAAGAAAAAGGAGATGCTTATTTATTCTTAGGCGATCTTTATTTATACGGTTATGGTGTTCCATACGATTATAGAAGAGCAAAACGATATTATGAAGTTTATTTAAATAAACAAAATTTTTATGGAAATTATAAAATTGGAAAGTTGTATGAAAATGGATTGGGAGTGAAAAAAAATTATTTGAAAGCTAAAGAATATTATGAAAGAGCTTATAATTCTGATGCTTTTATAAGTATAGGACATTTTTATAAAAATGGTTATGGCGTTAAAAAGAACTATAAAAAAGCTAGAATGTATTATGAAAAAGCATCAAATATGAATAATTCTTATGCTTTTAATTGCTTAGGAGAATTATATGAAAAAGGTTTGGGTGTTACAAGGAATTATTTAACTGCTCATTATTATTATAAATTAGCAGCCAAATTAAACAATCCTGAAGCACTTTTTTATTTAGGTTATTACTATTCAACTGATAATGTTGATATTTCTAAAGCAATTGAATATTATATGAAATGTCATGAAATTCATTATGAAAAAATTATCACTGAAAATTCATTAGATAATATTTCTTCATTTTATTTCAGATTAAATCATTATTATTATCGTTCAAGTAATGATATTGGTTTGATTTATTTTTTGGATTTAGATGATATTGAAAAGTCAATTGAATTTTTAAAAGAGTCAGCATTAAATGAATTCATATTTGGCCAGAACAATTATGGCCTCCTTTGTCAATTTTATTTGAACAAAACTGAAGAAGCAGAATATTTTTTCCAAAAAGCTTCCAAGAAAAGATTTTCTCTTGCATTTTACAATCTTGGATATTTAAAAGAAAAAGAAGGTAAAATCGATGAATCAATTGAATTATTTATTAAAGCAATTGAAAGTGAAAACGAACCGTTAATTTTCCATTCTTATCAGCATTTTGATAAAAGACTAGAAATATCAAAGACATTTGTCATTTGTTTTACAAATCTTAAGCTTGCTGATTATTATTTTTCAAAAGCTGATTATAAAGAATCAAAAAAATACTTCATACAAGCATTTAAAAAGTTAAAGATGAATTCAGAGGAAACATCGCATCAATTTAATTTAAATAGTCATAATTGTTTTTCTTATTTGGGAGATTTTATTCTTGGTTTTCCATTGTTTAATCTAGCAAATCAAGGAAATTTCAATTTAAATGAAATTATTGATTCATATCAATCAAAAATCACTTCAAAAGAAAATTTAAAGACAACTCAATTTAATATCAACATTAAGAAAGAAAAAATTATTAAATCAAATGAAATTTATAACACCTTAAATGATTCAAATATGTGCGTTTTAGAAAATGATGATGATATCTCAATCAGTAATCCAGGTGATTTATTTGATTACATGATTGAAAAAACACCAAAAAGTCTTTTTGGAAATGAAATTAAAGAAATTGTGCAAATTATGAATACAATTTTATATACACCACCATATAATATTTTATTTGGTAGGTTAAAGACAGAGATTCCGAAATTTAAGCCAAAAAATATCATTGATCCAAATTTAAAAAATATTAATGAATTATTTTATGAAGGGCTTGAAATTGAAGAATTAATTAATGGTTGATAATAAATAAAAAGTATTCAATACTATATAAATCACCTTTTCTATATAATAAGATAATAAAGAATATATATATATATATTTAGAATATAAATCTTTATTTGAAGAAATAGAAAATAATGATCAAATTATAGATCCAAAATATTCAAGGCTATTCAAGCAAAGCTGGTCATTGCCGGCAAAATTTTTACCAGTTTGACGAAGGCGAAGAAACCTGTAGTATTCGTCGCTAGAAAGATTTTCTTTGATTTTGAATGTGCTAAAAACGCTAATACTATTGAGACACGTGACATTGTTTTGTGAATCAAGAACTTTCCAGTCATTTCCACCTGTGTTGGAGCCTTCAATGACCCAATCTTTCAGATGGTGGCAATTTGGTGACCAAGCCCAGCTCCTGATTGAGTAGTGCGTTGGTCTGACTTTCCGATTTTTGAAGTCATACATCAGCCACGAATTTTTCTCACAATTCGTAATGAGTCCGCTACTTATGCTATCTAAATCAACGGTTAATTTGGCGGGATAACTGTTAATTACTTTTAATGCAGTGACAGACACTTCGCCTTTGTCATCAACATTTCCACCGCATTCCTTTGTGAGCGCGTGAATGATACCGTGGAAGCTGTTCGACTGATTCCCGTCATACAGAAATTGGCGGGATTTCGGTTCCACTTTTTGTTTTGCGTATCGTTTATCGTTCTTCACTTTCAAAAAGCGGTTGCATAACTTTTGCCACACTGAAGCAGTCATCCTGGTTGCATCGAAGCTTTCAATGAAATCTTTGAATTTGTCATCACTCAAACAGACAAATTCAATTCCTTCATAGAAATCATAAATGGTCAGTTCACTTTCACTTTCTTTTTCTTTTTCTTTCTCATTGAAAATTTCTTTGATGAATTCATATAAAGAGTCTTCATTATCAATTTTCAGATGCTCGTTTGAAATAATTGCGTGAAGAATCGGTGTTGACAGCTTTTTCAATTTGTTTTGATCAATCTGGTAAAAGTTCGATGAAATGGTATCAATTAAAAGGCTGAAATCAATATTTTGGAACATGGTTGTGTTTTGTGGTTGGTATTGATAAAGTTCTAATTTCACTAGAGAGTCATCGATATTATTATCTGTGAGTTGCTGAGAATGGAGACCTTGGAGAGAATTGAAAAGCTCACTATTGCCGAGAAGAATTGATATATGTTGCATTTTTTTGGCTTGATCAGAATTTATTGAAACTTGAATACCTTGAGAGATTAGTTTAAGAAGGTTGATCATTTCTTCGGTAAATAATTCTTCAATTGGAGGAAAAATAGCATTTTGTGGATAACAAAATTGATATGAATCGATTGTTGGATCTGAATGATGAATATGAGAAACATTTGGTGAAATAAACTCAGCAAAAATTCTGTTCATAACAATTTCGCATTTACCAAACATAAAAGTAAAGTCGCTTTGGTCCTCGATAACGTTTTTTAATCCTGCAGATGAAAGAATAAACGATTTGGAACTCATTAAAATTTTTTAAGAAAAATATCAAAATTTGTATATTTCAGAGAGAAAATTCAATGAGTTATCACAAAATTTTCTTAATTAGTCTTATATGTTTAATACAATGTCTTATAATTACATCAATTGTTGACTTAAATGTTGGTAGTCGCAATGATCAAACAACTTGAAACGATGGTTTACAACATACCTTTTGTGTGTTCGCTTTGAAATTTATGCCATCAAATTCAATAGAAAATGAGTAAAATTAGAGTGATTTTGCACCCATTATGCAAAATTTAACTTTTTTAGAATTCAAAAATGTCAAGAATATGCGGATGAAAATACAAAAATTATCTACAAATGAAAGTAATTTATATGAATTGTATAGAAAATCTCTATTTCAAACGTTAAATTAGCTCAGAGCAATGTTTTCGATGTATTCTTTCTCTACATTATAATAATTTAAATATTATCCGACTCAATTTTCCTGCCTTTTAAAGGATTTCATAGAAAAATATTCAATAGTCTCATCAATTTTAAGATTTTTAAATAAAAGAAAGAAGTATAAAATGAAGAAAATATGAAAGAGAGATTGGTCTAAAGGTAAGGCATTCGCTCTGGGAGCGAGATGATCTAGGTTCGAGTCCTAGGTCTCCCATTTTTTTGATTTTTTATATATAAAGTCGGATTCAAAATGCTTAGGACATTCTCTCAAAAAAATTCTGATAAAAGTGAAAAACAAAATTTTCAATTGAATACTAATAAAATCTCATTTATTTTAAGCCAAGAAGAGCAATATGAATAAATCATACGCAAAAAAAAGCATTTTTAAAAATAATCACCACTTTAAAACATCGCGAGAATAGATATTTATGCTCCAGATAGAAATTTATTGAATTATTATAAATAAGCTAGGCTTTAAATTGGTGGTCATTTTAGGTTGGAAATGACCTGTATTAAAGCATTTTATAGCTCCAAGTGACCAGTTGCCAAAAAGTTGTGATTCACTATTTAAAGACTAGTAAATAAGATGCTAGGTTTTACTGTCCAGACGAGTTTTCATAGAAAAAGTCATAGAACTATCACTATCCACTTTCAATTTTATCTTTATGGTCTCACTAAAAAGATTTCTTCTAAAGTTTTCTTTCTTAATTTTCGTTTTATTTGAGCTTGACACTTTTTCATTTTCAGAAAACCTCTGAATTTCTTGAATGCAGCTTGGGACTCTTTTGAATGGATTTCTATGGTAATTTAAAAAGTTTGCCCCAAGCTAATTGAATCCGACTTTATGTAGACTTTGTTTTTTAATTTTCGCATTTAAAAAATCAATCATTCAATATTTAAGACAATTTCAAAGTTTATCAATAATAAAGTCGGGATTCAAAATGCTTGGGACAACATTCAATTTTTTTCAATGTTTCTCAGAAAAAAAATCATTCATCTCATGACAAATTGACCTAAAAGATTCTTAAATATGATCTTATCGTTTTCAAAAAGTTTGTCCCAAGCCTTTTGAATCCGACTTTAGTATGTTTTTAAAATATGCAAGATTAGCAATTTTGAAGTGGAGAATGAATTTTTTATTCAATTAACTTATTAGTAAATTCACCATTTTTTATTTCTTCATTAAAGTGAAGAATCAATAAAACTATCAATATTTATTGCTTGAGTATCCATTTCATCTAAATCATTCTGACTCTTCTTTTTAATGATCATCGCCAAAACAAGAACAACCAAAGCAAGAGCAGATATAAAAACTGAAGCAGCAAGCATCAATTCATTAGACATTAATTTTGTCTTCTTATTTTTATTCTTATTAAGGACATCATCAATGTTTTCTTCGAATATTTGATTCTTCAAGTCGATACTTAATAAATCGAGATTACTAAATGATTTCTTTGGATTATCAGCAAATTTGCAATTGTTTACTAAAAGTTTTGGTGCTTCTTTATCGGCCATCAAGCCTTTTATATAATGAGATTTTGATGACAATTTTCCAGTGAACACTGAGTCTTTTAATTCAACCAAAGAACCATATTTTCCGCTGATGTAAAACAAAGAACAATCAGATTCTGAATTAATGTCAAACGAGCACTTTGAAATAATCAATGAGGCTTCTTTCTTATTCATAAGCATTGCTTTGTTATTACTTCCAAAAAGATCAACAATTTTGATAGCACCACCTTTTCCTTTGTTGCCTTGGAACAAATTGCTAGTCAAATCTGAATTCGAAACAGCAAGATAAATTGCACTTCCTCCATATGCATCGTCACTGGTGCTGCCTGTTGCTCTATTTCCAATAAATTTGCAATCAAAAACAATTATGGGGCTCAATTCTGATTTTGAATAGATGTAAACAGCACCACCATATTTGGCTTGGCAATTGTTGAAAGTTATATGTTCTAAGATAACTACATTCAATTCGAAATCTAAATCGTTTTTGAGATAAATTGCACCACCAACTTTGTTGCCTGTTCCACAATCAGTAAAGGATGATTTATTGCAGCGTAATCCTGCGTTGATAATGTGAATGGCGCTACCATCAACATCTTCTTTCATATTATTAAATATTGTTGCATTAATGTAAACATTAACTGGTTTGTTTTCTGTTTCTTCATATTCACATCGTTTGTTATCGCCACAATCATTTTTAGTTATTTCTTCAGATTTAAATTCGATGTAGTAGATGCAATTCAATGTGGCATCTCCTGATGATACTAATTTGACATCATAATATTTTGGCTCTAATTCTTTGGTTTCATAGATTAAAAGTGTGTCATATCGTTGACCTTGTGGGCCTTGATTAAGATTTAGATTCTCTTTAATATCATCACCAATTGTAAGGTCAAATGAATGACACCATGAACATTTGGTGCCATAAATCCAAATGTAACTTGTTGAAATTCTAGATTTGATTGAATCACCTGGTGATTCATCATTTGTTGCATAATGACGAAGACCTCCAACAAGATCTGATTGAGTTTTCCATGTGCCTGTTTGTTCTGCAAAGTCAGTGGCATTCAATCGTTTAGCATATAAATGTGGCCAGTAAACAAGTTTGTAAAGTTCAATCAATTCATTGTTGCCTATGATCTTGATATTGTGATCTTTGTATTCAAGATCTTCTGATACATAAAGTGTGGAATATTCTTCTCGTGTGTCTTTGTATGTGCTGATTTCGGTAATCGTTCCATCAATATCAACTTTGAATGAATGATGATCTGGTGTTTTGGTACCAATTATTCCAAATTTAACTCCTTTGAAGTTATATTCAAATGTGCCTGAACTAGTGTTGCAGATCGTTCCACATTGATAAAATGTTGGTGAATTAATGTCATATGAACCTGTTGGTAAATTGTCACCACTTGGACATGAATTATCTGAACATAAAATATCATTTGTCTTCGTCATTTGACCTAGGCCAATCGAAAGTGGAATCGCTTCTGGTGTTGGACTTGGTGGTGGTCCTGGTTCATCAATGTAAAAAATACAATTCAATGTGGCATCACCTGGTGATTCTAATTTGACATCATAGTAATTTAATCCTAATTCATTCGATTCATAGATTAAAATGGTGTCAAATCGTTCACTGCTGGATCCTTCTTTTAGTTCAAGTTTCTCTTTGATATCATCACCAATTGACATATCAAAGTGTTCACACCAACCACACTTCGATCCATAAAACCAAACATGAGATGTCCATATTCTGGATTTAATAGAATCTGTTGTGCCATCTTCAAATGCATAATGACGAAGACCTCCAACAAGATCTGATTGTGTATTCCATGTGCCTGTTTGTTCTGCAAAGTCAGTGGCATTCAATCGTCTAGCATATAAATGTGGCCAGTAAACAAGTTTGTAAAGTTCATATAATTCATTGTTGCCTTTGATTTTGATATTGTGATCTTTGTATTCAAGATCTTCTGATACATAAAGTGTGGAATATTCGTTTGCTGTCGCTTTGTGTGTGTTAACTTTCGTGTCTTGACCATCAATTTCAACAGTAAATGAGTATGATTTCGGAGATGCTGTACCAATTATTCCAAATTTAACTCCTTTGAAGTTATATTCAAATGTGCCTGAACTAGTGTTGCAGATCGTTCCACATTGATAAAATGTTGGTGAATTAATGTCATATGAACCTGTTGGTAAATTGTCACCACTTGGACATGAATTATCTGAACATAAAATATCATTTGTCTTCGTCATTTGACCTAGGCCAATCGAAAGTGGAATCGATTTTGGTGTTGGACTTGGTGGTGGTGATGGCTCATCAATGTAAAAAATACAATTCAATGTGGCATCACCTGGTGATGAGAATTCAATCTTGTATTCTTCACTTATGAATTCATCAGATTCATAGAGAAGTATCGTATCTGTTCGTCCTGGACTGTTTAGTTCTAGTTTTTGATTGATGTCACCAAGTGTCATATTAAAGTGATTACACCATGAACATTTCGATCCATAAATCCATACTTTCGAGAATGGAATTACTGATTTAATAGAATCTATTGTAGAATCTTGAGTTGCATAATGACGAAGACCTCCAACAAGATCTGATTGAGTTTTCCATGTGCCTGTTTGTTCTGCAAAGTCAGTGGCATTCAATCGTTTAGCATATAAATGTGGCCAGTAAACAAGTTTGTAAAGTTCAATCAATTCATTATTGCCTATGATCTTGATATTGTGATCTTTGTATTCAAGATCTTCTGATACATAAAGTGTGGAATATTCTTCTCGTGTGTCTTTGTATGTGCTGATTTCGGTAATCGTTCCATCAATATCAACTTTGAATGAATGATGATCTGGTGTTTTGGTACCAATTATTCCAAATTTAACTCCTTTGAAGTTATATTCAAATGTGCCTGAACTAGTGTTGCAGATCATTCCACATTGATAAAATGTTGGTGAATTAATGTCATATGAACCTGTTGGTAAATTGTCACCACTTGGACATGAATTATCTGAACATAAAATATCATTTGTCTTCGTCATTTGACCTAGGCCAATCGAAAGTGGAATCGCTTCTGGTGTTGGACTTGGTGGTAGTCCTGGTTCATCAATGTAAAAAATACAATTCAATGTGGCATCACCTGGTGATTCTAATTTGACATCATAGTAATTTAATCCTAATTCATTCGATTCATAGATTAAAATGGTGTCAAATCGTTCACTGCTGGATCCTTCTTTTAGTTCAAGTTTCTCTTTGATATCATCACCAATTGACATATCAAAGTGTTCACACCAACCACACTTCGATCCATAAAACCAAACATGAGATGTCCATATTCTGGATTTAATAGAATCTGTTGTGCCATCTTCAAATGCATAATGGCGAAGACCCCCAACAAGATCTGATTGTGTATTCCATGTGCCTGTTTGTTCTGCAAAGTCAGTGGCATTCAATCGTCTAGCATATAAATGTGGCCAGTAAACAAGTTTGTAAAGTTCAATCAATTCATTGTTGCCTTTGATTTTGATATTGTGATCTTTGTATTCAAGATCTTCTGATACATAAAGTGTGAAATATTCGTTTGCTGTCGCTTTGTGTGTGTTAACTTTCGTGTCTTGACCATCAATTTCAACAGTAAATGAGTATGATTTCGGAGATGCTGTACCAATTATTCCAAATTTAACTCCTTTGAAGTTATATTCAAA